CTTTAGTGCAATCACCATTGGTCTCCATTTCTTAGGTAGACTTCTGATGATTTTCTTTACATGATCTGCAGTGGTATAGCCTTTGTTTAAGACTTTCAATCCAGGCACAAGAGTTTGAAACCTAAGAACATTTACTCAACCATTTCAGCCTCTTCCATTTTGAAGGATTCATATTTATGGATTAAGGTCAAGGATTTTGTCTCTTTAACTTGCTCATTTCCTTCATGAACCATTTTAAAAGAATCAAATATAAACTTAACAGAGTCTCTATTTGTTATATTTTCATAGTTAGAGTAATAAATGACATTTAACAATATAGTTATAGATTTATGATAATTCTTATGATCCTTCTTTTGTTGATCACTCATTTTGTTTCTTTCGATTTGAATATCGTTATCATCTACAGGATGTGTATAACCATCTAACACAATATACCATAGGTCAGCGTCATACCCAGGGAAGAAACTTTCAATTTTATCCTTCCAGTAATCAAACTTTTCTCCATCAAATATTGGAGGTTTAGCAGAGTAATGATCATTATTGTTTGTATATGAATTTTCACCACTGGTGGATTTCATAGTGTTTCAATAAAACTTTAGATCTTTATCTTACACGGTTAAGTGTTTTGACACAATGTTGTCAATAACAGAACCGACGCTCTTATGCCAATTGAAGGTTCATGAAACATAATAAGGGGGTGAATCGCGTGTCAAGAATGATAATTTTTTCTCAACCCAGAACAACAGCCTAAAAACAACAACAAGGCTACCTCCATTCCACCTGTGTGATTTGTCTTAGACAAAGACTTCATCCAATAATCAAACCTGATTACAAATGCAGTGACAACCTCTCCCGACTTTCTGCGGGAATCTGACCCAACTGGTCTCCTAAGAAATTGATGGTCACTGACTCCTTAATACTTGACCTACCTGGTCGCTTAAGAAGATTTCAACCTCAATAACAACCTATTATTTACTTCTCAAGAGCCTAACCTAACCTGGTCGATTGAGGATTACAATCAAAATTCTAATAACAATTTTTGTGATTACAAATGCTTCTGAAAAACAGATACACAAGTTTACAATCAGTTACACACTTAACAAGAATATTCAATTATCTTTATTCTAAGTGTATAAGTGTAAGCAACACTTCTTATTTGTTTCTATGTGTGAGGAATGATGAATGTTTAGTGCGCGTATCAAGTCTTTATCTGTCACCTTTCTCAATCAACAAATTCCTCTTTAAATAGATGTAAAAATAAATCTGTTGAAGGTGAAGATGAAATATCCTCTAAGTATCTGCTGTATGAAGATCACTTCAAACGAAACACTAGAGTGTCGTTGTAGCCTGTAGTTGGTGAAGATGATTGGATGCGGAAGACTTCTTTAACACATAATACATTATTTTGTGAAAAAATATATTTTCTTTTATACTTTTGTCACATCAAATCTTTTGTTGACTTTTGGACAACTTCCATTTAAAGGCTTCTGATATTTGTTGAAGCTTAAGTAACATTTCTAGAGTCTATCTTCAGAATCTTTGGTGAGACTTCATAGTCTTTGGATGTTGGGTTCTAAGACTTTCACAAACAGATAGTCAGAGCTTTTTATATCAGAGTCTGGAGAACATTTGTTCAAAATGTTGACTTGATATATCAGAGCTTTTTATGAGCAGGAATAGGGGGATTTAGACTAATTCTAACTTCATATTATTAATTTAATTTTATTATTAATATTATTGGTGTTACTATTCTTACTATTCTCGTCCTCACACATAATGAGTTTCACTAACTCACCTCACTCACCCGCAAGTTACCATTTAACCACTTTCTTTTAATTATCATTATTATATATAATTAATCAACTCTTATAATTAATATTATCAATAATTTAATTTATTAACCAACATATACATTGTTATTTCACATACAAGTATTAAGTTAACAAATAAACACTAACAATTCAAACATGCTATCATTTTAGAATCTAAGAACAACCGATTGAAAAATATTTCATATTATGATCACATAAAATGATTTAATGGAAATCGACCGTTCGATCCATGACTATGAAATAAAGCTGAAAAGTTCTAACTAAATAATTAAACTAAAATGAAGGTGTTACAATACTTACCCCTTTAAAATAGTTTCGTCCTCGAAACTAGACATTCAAAAAAAAGTCGGGATAAAACTCCTTCATGCGGTCCTCTTATTCCCATGTAACATCACATGTTGTCTGATTTCAAATCACCTTGACCAATACGATTTATCTTCCCCTCAGATACCTCACACTTCTATCTGCAATACTCATCGGAGAAACCTCGAATGAGAGGTTCTCTTTAAGTTGGACATCGTCAGGTGTGATGACATGCGAAGAATCAGCCATGTACTTCCTCAGTTGAGACACATGAAACACATTATGTAGGTTACCCAAATTCGGAGGTAATGCAATCTGATAAGCTACATGGCCTACACGTTTGAGGATTTGATATGGTCAAATGGGTTTAGGAGTTAGCTTCTTAAATCTTAGTGTTCTTCCCACACCAATTGTAGGCGTCACTCTCAACAAAACATTATCGCCTTCTTGAAATTCTAAAACTCTCCTTCATTGGTCCGCATAACTTTTTTGTCTGCTCTGAGCTGTTTTCATTCTTTCCTGGATCAGTTTGACCTTCTCAATCGTCTGTTGTACCAAGTCGGGTCCCATAATCGGGCTTTTGCTATCCTTGTACCAACATAAAGGCGTCTGACATTTGCGTCCGTACAGAACCTCGTAAGACGCCATCTTAATACCTGCACGATAACTATTATTATACGTAAATTCCACAATTAGTAGCAACTTGTCCCAACTCCCCCGATCATCTAAGACACATGCCTTCAACATGTCTTTCAAAGTCTGTATGGTCCTCTCGGTCTGTCCATCTGTCTGAGGATGGTAGGTTGAACTTAACTTCAACTTCGTACCTAAAGCTTCATGCAACGCTCCTTCGAAATGAGAAGTAAATTTTGGATCTCTATCTGAAACAATGCTAGATGGTACTTCTTGTAGTCTGACAATTTCTTCAATATAAATCTCTGCTAGCTTGGCCACATTATAGTTGGTTCTCACTGGTACAAAGTGAGCTGACTTTGTCAACCTGTCCACAATCACCCATATCGAGTGAAACTTCCGCAAGGTCTTCGGTAATGCCACAACAAATTCCATGGAAAGGCTATCCCACTTCCGCTATAGGACATCTAGAGAATGCATTAATCCTGCTAGCTTCTGATGTTCTACCTTAGCTTTCAGACAAGTCAAGCATGAAGCCACATAATCAGCCACCTGCCTCTTCATATCAGGCCACCAAAATCTCTACTTCAAGTCTTGATACATCTTTGTCATACCGGGATGAATACATAGATTGCTTTTATGAGCTTCTTTTAGGATGGACTTCTGCAACTCTACATCATCAGGAACATAAACTCGCTCTTGACATCGTAAAACATCATACGAGTCTAACTTAAATACAGGTGTTTTTCCTACTTCAACCAATTTCTTCTTCTCTTGCATTATTTCATCAACCTGCTAAAGAGCCTTAATCTTGCTCATCAACTCATTTTGAATTGTAATTGTACCACAATGTAAACCACCGGTTGAGGAATCCTCCCTCAAGTTCTAGTTATGAAATTTCTCTAACAGTTCTAGTCCTTTCACTGCCATAGCTGAGAGATAAACTTGATTCCTGCTCAAAGCATATGTCACTACATTCTCCTTCACTGGGTGATACTGTAAGGTGAAGTCATAGTCCTTAACAAATTTCATTCACTTTCTCTGTCGTGAATTTAACTCTTTTTTTATCAAATAAGTACTTTAGACTCTTATAATCATTGAACACCTAAAAAAATACAGTCATATAGATAACACCTCCATATCTTTAGTGCAAAGACAATAGCAGCAAGCTCCAAATCATGTGTGGCGTAGTTTTTCTCGTGTATCTTCAATTGCCTTGAATCATAGGCCACCACTCGCTTATATATTATTTTTCTCCTATTTTTACTCCTTAAATAATATTTAAATACATTTGTTATTTCATAGTAAAAATTACATCTAAAGAATTATTTCTCGTTAAACCATTTGCAGTGTAATGTCAAAGGTGTACTTAAGGTATTCTCTTTTCTAAAGGTGACCTCATCTCTTTTCATAACGAATGAATTCTTTGGCATCCATTTTCATTTCCAATTCTTCATTGACTCTCAAATACTAAGAGTAATATGTATATCAAATTACTTATTTTAAATATGAATTGATTTAATAGACCATTTACATATGTGCCTAAAAAGAGAATCATTAATAACATGATAAAAACACTTTAAGTACCCTACCCTACCCCACCCACCAAAAAACTCTAACTCGAACACGACGCGGGCATGACACACACAGTGGCCTCCTCGAACATGTTCCATGAAGCGTATCAACTTGTCCCCAACTCGCTTGGTCTTTATCCCTTCACAATCACTCATCAATACCACCATCCAATAGAGATTTATCTATCTTGAAGGTGAACAAGATATTCCAAACAGAAAACAAGTTGAAAATGTCCTAATTTGACAGCCAATTTATGAAAGCAACACTCCACCGCCCCATATATTGGCCCATCCATAATCATCATTAGCCATTATGAAATTAAAAAATGAAAATTAAGAATTGCAAGCTAAGCCTCCTCATTTCTCATACTTTAGTAAATAAAATCGATAATAATAGTAATATAACAATTTAAGTTTTGTTACCGACATATGTACAATATAAAAAAAAGAAGTAATAAAAAACAAAGTAATTTCCCATAGTATAGAATGGTCAATAATTCAAAAAAGGGTAAAATAAACCGAAAGCGACACGATGGAATGGGATCCACCGTGTAATGCTCTTTTCACTTTCACCAACCAAACCCTACCACTCACTCTCCAGCTCACAATGTTGTGTACACTACACTCTAGCGCACAATAGCTCACGCGGCGCAATCACTCACACCAAACCGTCAATTTCACAATCCGGATCCGGCGCGACTGACTTAACATTAACGGCGGCGTATCGCGTGGAGAAATTGCAAAACCCGTCGTGGCGGCTATCCTCGTTCTGTCCTTCATCGAAGTTCAACGCGTAACTCAATGGATCGTATTGGCACTTCGCCATGCGTCTGGAGGATCGGTGTTGGTTGAATTTCCGGAGAAACGTTTTCCATCTTGGACCAGCGACAATCTCCGACCAGTCTCGGAGCTTCTTTAAGGCCTTGAGACCGCGCGACCACCATCGGTCACCGGTGGTGTTGGTGGTGGTGGGATGGGATTGAGAAAAGGAGGCGGAGCGGACGCGCTCCCACCAGATTGAACGGCGGCGTGAGGCGAAGCAGGTGGGGAAGCATAAGGCGTTTGATCGCTGTTGGACATGAGCGGTGGGTGTGGAGTCGGATTCAAGCTCTTGTTCAACGGACATGTCAGAAACTGAGATTGAGAGTATTAATAAATGATGATTTTGTTCGAAAATGATTGAGTGGTGAATGATGGATGAGGCGGTAATATTACAGTGTTTTTTTGCAGAGATGATGAATGAAGAAGAGAGAATGTGAGGAAAAGATTTATTTTCTTCTTTTGAGTAATGAGAAAATGGTTTGAGTTATGAATAAATAATAGATTTGGGTGGCCACATGTATTATTTAATATCGTATTGTAATTTAGTGCAGACTATACTTCAGCCACTTACTCTGCTCACCCAACTTTTATTAATGAGTAATAATATTTCTATCCTTTAATTCCGAACACTATCTTAACACGTATCTCTCTATTTGTGTCCAAAGGATAAAATAGATTTCTATATATTTGTCCAAACACTATTGTAAAAAAAAAGTGTCCAAACATTATTTTCATTTATTAACCTTAGATATTTCATCCCTCCAAACACTTTAAAAATATTGATTATTTTAATTTTCAACCTAAATTTTAATTATATTATGGATTATGATAACTTAGAAATATATGTTAAGGAAATTACAATTTTAAGGTTTTAGCGAGTGTATCGGGAAAAATAGTGGAGCATTCGTTAATATTTTTCATAAAATAATTATTTGTGTTTTCTATCACAAACACTTGAGTTTATTAAAAATTTACGTTTGTAATACTTTCTCCCTTTTAAGTAAATATATTTTAGCAAATAAAATTTATTTTATTATGATTGTTATTATCACTTTTTAATATAAAAATAATTATTATTTTTCAATTATCCTTAATTATTACTTTATTAATATAATAAAAATAACAACTTATAAAAGTATTATTATTTTCCTAATCAATATTTAAAAACCTTAAATAGTATTAAAAGAATTAATACAGTGACGTGACTACAATAGTTTATACTTTATAGAGACGAAATGAGCGCCCACGGAAAAAAAAAGCCGAGTCACGCGTATTTGGCACGGATATCACGTAATCTAGCACCCGCGGCAGTTACTACTACTAGTGACTCGACACAGCTGAGCATCACCTCTTATCCATAATTTTGTCACCTCACTCAAAACTAAGCATGTTTCCTTTCTCATTGCCTCGTGTCATTTGTCCCATCTCATTTTGCCTTTTTATTTTCTTTAATTTTATATAATTAAACATATTTTATATATAAATAAATTGAATGACTATTTTCAATTCTTACCGTTATAAATAATTATATACACAATCATCACTTTCTAATTATATATTTTATATAAGAAAAAAGTGATATATTATAATATACAACTACCCATTCTTTAATTATATACAGAACTATTCTATAAATATTTTATTATTTTAACAAATTTCTTCATTTTTATTTTTATTTTAAAAATTAAAATATTTTTTAATTATTTTGATTTAATTAAGTTAATTAAGTGAATAACTTAATTGATAAAATGATTATATAGATCAAGAAAAATAAATCAATCTCATCGATTTAGATAACATTTAGACAATGTTTTTTTTGTCTCATGATTCACATAACATGCATCATTTTGTTTTTGATCATCAAAATTAAATTTTGAATCACCGTTAAAATTTCTCTCTATTTACTTGTAATGGCACATTTTATCTCTTATATAAGGAAGCTAAAATATTTAAGTTTGTATTTGCGTGGTTGTTTTGTGAATATTGAACCACAATAAGTGGATAAAATGATAAGGGTTAAGATGAGTGATTTGAGTTTTGTTAGAGTGATGTTGTAAAGGTGAAAATGTTAAAAGAAATAAATTAGATATTATTTACCTATCTTTGTGCAAACAAAGAAAAAGTAAAATAGATAGGAAAATATTCAAAAGTCATTATAAAAAAGAAGTGAAATAAATATGAAATTGTTCATGGATCATTATAAAAAAAATAGAGTAAAAATTTGGATAAAATAAATCTAGCACTAAACACGGTCCTTGGGCAAAACAAAAAAGACTAAAATAAATTTAACATCATTCAACATCCTTGTACAAAAAGAAATAGAGTAAAATAAATCTAACCCTTATTACTTTTATTATGTCAAAAAGTAATTAGTCAAATAAAATAGAAGTAACAATATTTATTTGGTATTATTAAAAAAATTAGTGGAGAAAAAATATTACATACTATTCACATAAAAAATGATTAATAATATTGTTAGTAAATTAGAAAAAAAGAATAAAATAAATCAAATAGTGTCATCATTTTTTGTGTGCATTTTAATCATTTAATTAGTTTATTGATATCAAAATATTTTTAATTTTTTAAATGAAAACTTAAATAAAAAATGAAAGAAAGTAAAAAAAAAATAAACAAATTTAAAAATAGTATATAATTGAAAGGAGGGGACACATGTAAAAATTGGCGACTATTTTCACCAATGTTAATAATTCGGGACTAATTTCATAAAATTGAATTACTATTTTCACTAATGTTTATAATTTAAGAACTAATTTCTCTATTCACTTATTTTAAAAAGTACACGTCAACCTAAAAAAGAAGTGCAAAATTATTTTCAATATTTTCTTTGAAACTACTCTGCCATATTGCACTTGAGACGAAGAACAAATATTGATGGTTCCATGACCAAACCAAACGAATCTGGTCCAGTGAATGCAGTGTCAAAAAGATGTAATCCATTCATCATTTTTTGGAACAACCCCTCAGTTTTATCAAAGGTTGCATCCAGCATCATTTGGCTCAATGAAGCATCATATGTTTGGAAAGAACTCAAAGTGACCAGGTGAGAATCTCCTCACAATCACTATTAATTTGATGAAGTTAAAAAATACTATAACATGAACTTTGTCTCCTACAACTTACTGTTTTATAGCCTCTAAAACAATTTGGCAGAAAAGTGACAGTTATTCTTTGATCTGCTTCCTTTAAGGGTTAAATGAGAATTATCCAACCGTCACTCTCTCAAATAATATCAATCAATCCATTACCATACCTCAACAATTTGTTTTCATTTCAATGGTAATTTAACAAGAAAATAAATTACAAGTTGGCATCTTGCCTAATCCTACAATTCTTACTGCCCAAGCAAAGACTCAACACACTCGTGTCAGAGGCAAGACCAATCCTAAATTATTATTTTTTTTACTAAATCTGCCCTTGAAGCAGCACATCGCCACATCCTTTGTGAAAGGAGGCAGGAAATGGATTATTTGCCTATCAGCTATACCAAACTCAGAGGCTATGCCCAGTCAGTTGCACTGAGTGACATGATGCACAAATTAAGGCCTTGAAACAAAACAAAACATGGATCCTTATTGAACTTCCACAAAGCAAGAAACAAATTCACTCAAGTGGTTAAATTATATTAAATTACTAGTAAAGATGCTGTGCACTTGTGGGGGGAAATTGCAGAAAGCAGAAGTGCAGAATTCTGCTACATGTCAATAGCAGAAGACTTTTCTTAGAATGGATAGATAAATAGATTCCTCCAAACTTCAAAGATACATGTGACATCGCGTTAGTCTTTCATCAATGTAAGAAGAGCATTGTTAAAACTAAATAGATGGAAGAAAAAAAAGTCAAGTGCATTGGTCCAAGAAGCGACTTAAACCAACTTTGAGTACGGGGTGGTGGAACATGTGATGAGAAGCCCAAGGACTAGAATTAGGGCCAAACGCAATAGGGTCAAGCCCAAGTGGCTAAGGGACTGCTATTGAGCATCTACACGTCATTATAGTATCTAGAATCTAGATCCTTCTATTGAAACAAGTCATGCATTTGTAGTGGAAAGATTCTAGGCAATGATGGACAAAAGCCAATATCTGCTTTTTCTGTTCTTTCTAGCCCTTAACAAACTTTCTTACTTTTGAAGGACAAAAGAAATATCTAATCTGAACGCGAAAAAAACAAACTGATGCCAGATACTTTTTTAGAAGACAACTTATTGTTTCACGTTAGTATTTTTTTTAGAGGACAGATTTGAGTATTTAGGCTTAAAGAACTAGCACACCAAATCCATCGACATATCAATAAGGATCAACCTAATAATATCCTCCACATCTTTAAGGAATCTAATCAAATATTAAGTCTCACTAGAAAGACAGAAAGAAAAAAACATTAGAGTAGCTAAATGACTTCATAATGTTCATTATTCATAGGCATTATAAATATACAAATTTACAAACAACAATGATAATATAAAAACAAAAAGCTATATATCTTGGTTCAATAACACACAATCAGTAATAATAACATCATACATTGCATTTCACAACTTCAACTACACATCATAAGTGCTTATATATAATCTACTTCTTAAACAAAAGATAAAGTAAAGTCAACTTGTTTTCATATAAGCTATTCTAAGGCAGTTATGGACACTTCATAAGTTGTTTTCATAAACTCTCTTGAATCGTCACACGAGTGCCAATGGTAGTAAACATACTTAAATAAGTCAATCCAAACACAACCTAAGCTAATTAGATACTAAACGTTAAGTACTACAAACAACTACTACATAAGCCATTAAGAAGTATCTTCAAAATGAAACACAAACACTGAAAGTTGGACCTACATTTCACATATCCATAGAAAACCCCAGATCACGACCATGAACAGTCAAGAAAACATTACCGGCGGTATCCGTATTGCCAGCATCAAGAGCAATAGCAGCGAATATCGATCGGAAAGCCCCACAAACAACAGCAGTGGAAGAAGAATTAGTCTTGGGCGAAACACGAACCACCTTATGTAAACCCAAACGCACTCCATCAACGGCACAAGAAGAGTCCACATTGGATATTAATGATAATCGACGGTTCATCTCTTTGGCAGAAACATCAACGTCTTTGGAAAGCAGATTGAAAGAAACCGAAGTTTCTATGACGGTAGCACCAAAAATGCTGAAAGCTTTGTTGTTCTCTTCGGAGAAGGAAGCGTGAGTCATAGCACGACGGAGAAGACTTATGGTCTTGAAAGTGTACCTGATCAGCGTGTAAGACGTTAGATTGAGAAATTTGAAAATGAAAAGAGAAAAGAATGAACAGAGGCAAACCCTAGTTGCTTTTGGAGTGTTTCGAGGGAGGATGCAAATGGTGAGAATGAGTGTCCTTGAATAGTGACATGGGGAAGGATCGCGATGACGAAAAGAGCGAAGACGGTGAAGGTGGGAGTGGCACGAGTGGATCGCATTTTGAACTCAACAAAACTAGGCAATTCGCCGTGCTTTTTGCTATCACACACTAGTCAAGTTCAAAGCCCGGTTACTTCCTTGCGAAATAGTTACCCGCAAGGGGAAAAAAACTACCTTTATTTTTCTTTTTGGAAATGATTAGTACCGAATAGGGCTGGCAATGAACCAAACCAACTCGAAGATAGTTCGGAATTCGACTCGACAATTAAATCGTTGAACTAGGTTCATGAACCAAATGAGTTGAGTATGAGCGAAAAATTAAGTTCGTTAACTAAATGAGCTGAACTTGAACTATACATAGTTCGACTCGTTAGGTTCATAAGTCAACTCGATTACATATGAAAAGAATTATACTGTCTTTAAGATTAGGTTTAAATATTTACTTCAAATCTTAGACAAATTTAATCTTCAATTTAGTAGTTTTTGAGTTAGACTCTCAAATGTATCTCTTGAAAGTTGTGTAGGTTTTGAATTAGTAGATTTTGAAGATAAAGTTAAATATCAATATGATAACTTTTATTTTATTTTAATATTTTATTTAAAAAATATATATTTATTTAAAATGTCAAATATACTAAAAAATATATATATTTTAAAAAATAGTTTTTAAGTTCGTGAACCATGTGAGCTGAACCTAATGAGATGAACCTAACGAGTCGAATCGAATTGTTCGTGAACTTATAACGAGTCGAGTTTGAGCTTAAAAAAAAGTTCGTGTCGAACTCGAACTCGAACTCGAATTCGAACAATTCTTAACGAGTCGAGCCGAGCTGAGGTGAGTTCGACTCGACTCGACTCATTTCCAGCCCTAGTACCGAATACCTCAATATAAGTATTTAGAAGTTAACTAGATTAAAATTTCCGACGATATAATTAGAATAACAAATACATCAACATAATTAGAATAATAAATACATCACCTAACAAAATCTTCAAGGCGCTACATCGAGTTTTCAGCGTCAAACCACAAATGCGAGTCTAATCTAAATATATGTTTGGTTAAAAATATATACAATAATATAGAATGAGATACTAGTCTCAATGAATTTTACGGTTTAAAACATTGAGTTTCTCATTACCTTTTTACATTGGTCAAGGTCTACTTGAAATATCCATAAGGGTATCTCACTATCATCCTGCACGAATGAGCATTGACTAAGATCATCTCACTCAAGTCATCTATTCAACCTCACATGCTGATTCACAAAATAAAAACACACATCACGTCATGATTCATCGACCAATAATGGAATAGTCACGTACCAAGGCGATGAAGATGTAGTAATTTTACATAAACCCTGACTCGGGCGTTTAAGTATTGTGACTCACAAAGACTCTATCAAATCGAGCAAATTTTCTACAACTGTACAACTCATATATCACTCACACGGTCACGACCTCTCATGGCCCCCATAAGCATAACATCAGGATCCAATATATCCTACTGCCACCCCACAAGAGCTAAGCCATGCATAGTACCCTACATCTAAAAATAATCCATAAGTGTAACCATCCCCTGTAGCTCGTAGGTCATGGACGACACATGTAGTACTCAACTATCAAGCATAGCGTGTGAAATATCAACCATCATACTCTATCTCATGAGATCTCCAATACGTGCTTCACGAGCATACATCTGGAATTATACATCGAGACTGAGATCGTCACAAATCTCATACTTGACTAAAAGGATAACTCATGTTGTAACACCCCCTTTCTATACCCCCAAATAACACAATTAAGTCATTTAGGCACGAATTAAAAATTCCATCAGAGTATATTTATTTTATGGTATGAAAGAAGTTCGTCACATTACTCACGAAACGACCACATGAATATTAATGTTTATAAAGAAATAATTCAAAAGGGGTGAATCTCAACAAAAAAAAAAATAAACGCATGGTTCTTAAAATAGGCATATTCATGTTTTCTGTTAAAGCGGAAGACTAAAACATTGAATTACTTAAGACATGATAAAATACAAGTACACGCCATTAGGTTGTTCATAACATCAATCACAGTTTACCAAACATCATCAACTATTACATATGTAATGTATCACAAAGATACTCTACAAGCCTAGCTACCCGATGTTACATATCAGAGCGACCGACTCAAGAGAAAGGAGTTATACTCCAAAAGAAAACCTCCAGCAATCCTAATCTGCAATGCCTCATAGAGCATCATAAAACAGCAGAAGGGTGAGAAATATTACCATAATAACAATGCATATAATTATGTATATAAACAATCATAAAATACATATATGCCACATTTCTCAATCAATTCACACACTCACCACTCCCACATCAACATATCGTATATATACATATTCACACTTCTCCTAACAATCACATATACATTATGTTTCATTTACCGCAAATCATATAAGCATATACAATCATACTTCTATAATTCACATCCTTTTCACATAAACATTTACAATCATTCTATACATCTCAATCATTCCATACATCGCAATGTATCCATATAAGTATCTATATATAAATAGAACATCAAGCATATACAATATGCATTCACCAATGTTTACATCCCCACAAGGCATACCCTACAAGGGCACGCGAGGTTCTGCAGATTCTCCGAGAAATCAATATAACCATCGCAACATACGAGGTTCTGCAAATCCTCCGAGGGATCAATAAATAACCATCGCTCACACCCCACAAGGGCACACGAGGTTCTGCAGATTCTCCGAGGAATCAATATAACCATCACAACATACGAGGTTCTGCAAATCCTCCGAGGGATCAATAAACACAAGAATGCACACCATGATGCTTCACATGCAACATGACTCATGACACTCTTGAAATGCACACATGTTTACAAACATACTCATGCATTTATCACGTTAATTACATATATTCATTATGCACTCACAATATTTAAATATGGTTCACATTTACAATCATCATACATCACATACGAGCAATATGCACTTGCAAATATCGTGCCAAACGGCAATAAACTCAATCACATCCATCATGCATTTTTAATCAATTTAAACAATGTGTCACATATGCCAAAAGACCACATATTCACAATCAATTCATAATCTAGGATTCATGCCATACGGCTACCCACAACACACATAACAGCATATAATTAGTCATCTCAAACAAGGAATGATCGCAACCAAACCACACAATCAATCCGCGAATGGAAAACACAAGAAAAGAAAATATGCTGTTGTGTTCGCTAACCTTCGCCCGGCGAAGCCTCTGGCGAACCTTCGCTACTCCGTTCGCCTGGCGAACTTGCCAGCGAAGACCACTGGGATTTATTTTGGAATTACTCGCTAGCATACTCGCCTGGCGAACCTTCGCCACACTCATTCGCCTGGCGAACTTGCCAACGAAGACAGGGTGTTTGGTTCTGACTTGATTCGCTACCGTTCGTCAGGCGAAGCCTCGTTGCCATTCGCCTGGCGAACCTGCGAGATCAGAACCCCCATGGCTATCCAAAAGCCCAAACCTCACAAAACCAACCGATTCAGTACAAATCAACCCCAATAGACTTAGCCCAACACTACCCGACTAAACTACTCCATTCATTCTCGACTCTAACCGATAAAACATCGTCTCTACCGATTGAACCAACTTCTGCCCTAAATGGAAAATGAGTAGAAAACCCCAACAAATCCAACACACACATACATAATCGTACACATTGATTAAGATAGTAAGATTTCACACCCTTACCTCAATTAATCGGAAGCTAGAAGTCGTTCTTGAGCTTTTCCAAGCTTTTCCTTCTTTTTCCTTCTACTTTCTCTTCTTCCTCCACTTTCCTTTCATGTTTTCTATTTTTCATTGTCGTTCCTCTTCCCCCATATATATATATATGTCCTTCCCTTCTATTTCTCTCCAATATATTTCTTCTCTTAAAATATTTGTCAATTCATTTTCTCATAAAATATCTCATCTTGACATTGGTTAGAAAACATCTGATAAATCCTCATGATTCTACCAAATAGAATAAATCAGTTAAATCCAATAATTCACTTAAACCATACAAACCAACTAACTAGTATAATTAATCAGTTATTAAAAATCGGGTTGTTACAACTCTCCCCCACTTTAGGAATTTTCGTCCTCGAAAATATTATCCGATTCAAATCCAACTTTCTCTAGTTGATCCTCCAAAATACCTTTACCAAGACAATCCCTTTTCCTTAAAGTTGTCTCAACAGTCAAATCCTCTCTCACTCATACACCATCCATCTGGATCGATGCGCTTCCTCAGCTTAGACACATGAACACATCATGCAATTTCTCCTAGTGACAGCGGTAAAACAATCTAACATGCTATTTTCCCACGCTTCCGCTGCGCTACTCTGATACAGATTCAACAAGACACAGTTTGCTTCCAAGACCTCAAGCTCGACCAATACCGGTTACTATCGTAACTCTCAAAACACGTCCTTTCTTGGATCCTCTAATCTTTTCAGTCGTCTCTTGCTCAATCCCAAGTCCGAGTACAACACTCTTGCCATACACACATCAACACAAAGGAGTCCTACACCTCCTTCTTATCCATCTTGATCCAACACACGAGCTCTCAACAAATCCTCTACATACTGGATAGCTCCCTTTGTCTGCCCATCCGTTCACGGATGGTAGACAAAGTTCAACTTCAACATGGCACCCAAAACGTCCACAAACTCTTCCAAAATCTCAATAAAAACACAGGTTCCCATCTGAAACAATATTAGACGGTATCACATACTACTCAGTATTACTCGACAGTTGCATCAGGCCAACAGTCTCTGATGTTCACACTTCGGCTTTCAACAAGTCTAATCAGCATATACAACCGCAACCACTTCTCTCTCCATCCGTGGCCACCAAAACAATTCTTTCAAAGTACTCTTATCCAATCCACACTATTCGGACACATAGACTCTATCACAACATCTCATGTCGCCATTTCCATAAATCCGAAAATCAGCCCTTTGACTTCAATCCGTTAAACTCAA